TTTTTCAGTATAAACCATATCTCTATACAAAAAATAGATAAGTATTACTGGTCTTAATTACTTTAATAGAGAATAACTTCTTAATTATTAAGAACAATTTCTTAATAATATGAATAATTTCTCTAAGTAAGTAACTAAGTATTTAAGCACTTAGTTTTACTTAAATACAAAATTTATACATAAATTCTTATAAATATTGTACAGGCTATATTAAAACTTAAAAGCTCTTATATCAAGAACCTAGTAAGTAATTTTTTCTAGGTTAGTGGAAACAAAATCTTAATTACTGACAATTATATAAATTACTACAAAATCTGATTATTAAATATTATCAGCATAATTAATTTAAGGCGTAAAACATGTTTATAAAGAGAAAATAGGAACTAATGCTTTCTAGGCAGAGCTGAGCAAAACTAATTACATTACAAATTAGCTATAATTGCAAATCAATTACATGTTAATTACAAAGTAAATTCAGTATACTTATAACTTGGAGTATACGAGTATGCGAGAATACAATTGTAATTGGAAGTGAATATCAAAATAATAAATTACACGAAATTGGAATTTGGAATAATCTAGTATCTATATTCCAAATTCAAACTGTTTGTAATTTGGAGTTGATTTTATTCAATTCCAATTACAAATGTAATCTCACATCTAAATTGCAATTAAAATGTACATAAATGGACAACAATATAAAAGAACAGTTCAAGTTATTCAACATACAACTGACACTACTAAAGTTCCTGGCCAGATAATGTAAAATTTGTTATTAGTCAGATTATGGTAAATGCTCAATATTCTTTTGAAAACATGATAACTATTTTATTAGAATCAATAAGTAGAGTGTTAAAGTTTTATTTGACACTGACAAGTTAAGTATTCTAGAATGTAAGCTTATCGGAAAAAACAGCTAATTTGGTGTTATATTAGACCTCCTTATGGAAAGTAAAACTTATCGGATAAAGGAGTTGATCAATATTTTTGTATTTTATAAAATTTAGTATTTTATAAGACTTATAAATATTACTAAATAAATTCACACCTTCACAAAGTGATGATGACTACCGCATTAAAAATAACAGAGAAATTAACACCCGTAGCATGATATGCACTTTATCACAGACGAACATTATCAAACGAATTAGCATCATAGCAATGACGAATGATGATGTTTCAGAGAAAAGGGTATTTGAAATGGTAGTCTGAGAAAAAAGAAATGGGAGAAAACTGATTCTCCGATAGAGCTATCAAGGTCAGAACCCACTAACCGAACTTGGTATACAAAACTGATGAAGGAGTTAAGTACACTCCTCACGTCGGAGAGGGAACAGTAATCTAGTTGTGCCTTCTTTTTCTTTGCTTGATGTAACTCAAGTTAGTGTCTGTGACGACTTGAATAATATATAGGTGATATCCGTTGAATTCTGAATAAATGCAAGTTTTTCAGATAATTTTTTAAAAATATCTCCATACGGAATATTTTTTTTTTAAATATAACAATATTTACAATGTATACAATGAGTTTTTCCGCAAGTCTAGAAACTTTCAATATTGGCATGTTAAACAACAAACACTGAATTTTAAAATTTTTCATAATAAAGTAATTTAAAAATATTTTTACTTATTAAAAGTAATACATATAATACATTGTGACCGAAAGGTTTTCGGAAGTTCTCATTTAAAATTCGCGCGCTGTATATTTTTCGATATTTTAAGTTTATGTAGTTTGGCAGCACTTTCCTTAATTACTATGCCAAAAATGAGCGCGATCTGTCAGACAGTTCGTTTACGGCAGCTGTTGAAACCAGTTCACCTCAGTAGTGCGTTGCGAAAAAAACAATGGAAAAAAATATTGAACAAAGAGTTTGCATCCAATTTTGTGTTTCGAACGAAATTTCGTGTGCAGAATCGTTGCGAATGCTACAAAAGGCTTATGGGGAATCAGTTTTATCGAAAACTCAAGTTTATGAGTTGTACAAAGCCTTTCAGGACGGTCGTACGACCGTCGAAGACATGCCGCGTTCTGGACGACCTTCGACCTCTACCACCGACGAAAACATTGAAAAGGCAAAGGAAATCGTGTTCCAAAATCCTCATGTGAGTGTTAGAGAGATAGCACGAGAGCTAGGCATCGGTCGTGAGACCACGGCCTCAATTGTGGAAGGATAATTCATGGATTTTTCATGACGATAATGCTCCCTCGCACCGAGCCAACATTATCAACGATTTTAAGGCCAAACATTCAATAAATACCATCAAACAGCCACCGTATTCACCTGATCTTGCACCGTGTGACTTTTTCCTGTTTCCCAAACTCAAATTACCACTCAGAGGAACGCGTTTTGAATCCATAGAAGACGAAAAACAGAATTCGCAGAGGGAACTCAAAGCCATACCGGAAAGCGCCTATAAAAAATGTTTTGATGATTGGAAGAAACGTTGGCATTTGTGTATCGCTTCTAATGGAGCATATTTTGAAGGAGATAAAATAAATATTGATGAAGATTAAGAATTTTGCGTTTTATTTAAAACTTTCCGGAAACTTTTCGGTCACAATGTATATTAAATATGAAAATTCATAAATGCCTTTAATATGTAAATATCATTCAATATATACAAATTATGTTTCAATTACGGAGTAAAGCAAGCTACCACAAGTTTTACTACTCCGACATTAAGTTACTCACCGGAAATGTGACAATTTGTGAGTAATTTGCTTATAAATTTCATATGAAATGCAGACAGGATGCAGCAAGTTTGCATTGAATTTCTTAAGAAGTTTGCACTTTTCGTTCATGTTCAGTTTTGTCAATCATGAATGTTGCAAGTTGCACTTTCGCACATCAACATATTGTTCTGGCATTCCACATACTCAACTTACGCAGCGCTCAAGATTTGCTGCTTTGTATGTAATTGTGTTTGTTTGTGGTGATACTGCTAATATAATCAAGTCGCATAATTTTCATTTTTCATAGTGCAAGGAGTGCACTGCCTTTAAGTACTTGGTAACTCATTTCATCTCTAACCACATAATTCTGTATGAATATGTCTTTCTTTTACTTTGTCTTAATAGAAGTTTATGTGTTCACATGTAGATGACATTGTTGTTCCATAAAAGACTTCATCATAGTGTGCTCATCCTTGCAACGCATGAAACGTGTGTCGTCATCGTTTATGTGCAAATATGCATGTTAATGAGACAACTGTGACCTGGCTTAAATGGAAAAATTCCATACTGCAATGAAGTTTACCTTTTAGATTTTGAGGAATTTCTAAAGTATGAAGGTCTTGAATATTGATTTACTACTTCTAAAACAAAATGTTTAAGAAGTAATTAGTAATCATATTGTTGGAACAAGAAATACTTATTAAACAAATTTATTTTCTAGTTAAAAATAAAAGAAATTATATTATTATTATATTTGAGAAATTTGATATGCAATATTCGATATATATATACAATAGATATTGCGCCTCCTTCACTGACTTAGCATATTTCTACGTGTCCAACTTTCTTTATAAATTGTAGTATTGAACATATATTACGGAGTTGTATAAGTTCTTCCGATATAAGATGCTCACATAAGTACTTATATCGTTTCTTTGGAATCCACTGAAATCCTGTCTGTTGGCTTTGGGCAAACATATTCAAAGTTTTG